TTTTGACTATTCAATGAACTAATGTTAGCTCAGGCCAGTGGTTCTCAAACTTGAGCATGCACCAGAATTCTCTGGAAGGCTTATTAAAACAGATTATTGGGTCCCACCACCAGAGTTTCTGATTTAGTTGGTCTGGGTTGAGGCCTGACAATTTGCATTTCTAAGTTTCCAGGAGATGCTAATGTGCTGATCCCAGGACCATACACTGAGAACCACTGGTTCAAACTAACTTACATCATTAATAGACAACTAAGAAAGTCCACCACACTCCTTCATTATTTTAGATAATCTTTGTTTGTTTGTTTAAAGAACTTAGACTGAAAAACCTAAGTAGAAATGTTATAAACTGTTCCTTTTAACCAGCACAGCCCTGACTTGAAATATCCTCCCTTATTGTTACAAATAAATTGTTTTCTAGATTTTTCAAGATGTAATTAAAACTTTACCTAGCTAATCCTCAAGAAAAATGAATGAGCCCTCCTCTGTACTTAAACAATACTTGAGTCTTTTATTATAGCACTTTCATCAAACTTGTATATTGTCCATTTATATGTTTATTTCCTCTCTTAGGCTGTTAGTTCCTTGAAGGCAAGGTCCATCTTTTCATCTGTGTCCTCTGTGACTAGTACACAGTAAATATTATTGAGTGAAAACATGAACTGACTAGATGATTTCTAAGGATGCTGCCAGCTGTAATACTGTATGAGCATAGACAACTTCAACAGGTTTTCCCTGTGAACATACATACAACCCAATAACAGGGTGGAATATTTCAAAATATCCCAAGGTAGTCAACAGCTTCCTAAAATTTGAATCACCAGAACACTAAATTTCTTGCTCTCGTGACTCCTGAAAGGTATTGATATAAATTATAATCAGTGTGGCTCATTCAAAAGGCACCCCAAACTCATTATGAAGGACTGCTCTTCAGTTTTGTCTGTATATGTTGTTTTTTCCTTCAGTGCTAATCTCCCCTTGTTAGTCTAAATCCTAATCATCCTTCAAACTTGTAGCAAGTGTTATCTCCTCTGAGAAGCCTTTTTATGATTCACTATGTGGGGAGTAAAGTAGCCTTCCTTTCAGTTTCCACACACCTTTTGTTTATCTCACACTACTACTCCTGATTTGCTTCTAGTTTACACTTCATGTCTTGCTTATCTCTGTTCCCCACAGCCAGACACACAGTTATTGTAAAGCTTTTAATTGAGTCAATGAAGCTTACTTCTCATTTCCGAGGTACTAGTATCTCCCAGGTAAGACATGTTCTGCCCTAACCCTTCTTCCCTGGTCAGCCCAGAATTCGTTCTCCATTTAAGAAGGAGGTTCAGCATAAAACAGAATTGGGAAGAGATAGAATCTGAAGCCTGACTTTGCTAGGGCTTCTGATGACTCGAAATTCACATTTTTATTCATTAAATATTACCCTCAGGTTTGAATAGTTTATACCCTGCTTCTCAAATCACTCTACCCAAAAGTGATCGTATCATTCTATGATACCAATAATATTTGATTATTTGGTTCTTTTTCAAAATACACAGTGCTTCAAAATGTCCAAATCTTCCTTTCACTGGGATAGTAGGTCTAGAACAAAAGTCAAGGGCATTGGAGATAAGATAAATCTGGGTCTAAACCCCAGCTCAGCATTCCCCTAATTGTGTGACTTGGGCAAATCCTTTATCCTGGGCTTCAGTTTCCTCATATATAAAATAGAAATCATAATGCTAGCCTCTTAAGGCTGTTGTTTAAGTGTCTGGCATAAACTGTTTGATAAATAAAAGCAATGATTGCTATCGTTTCAATTCTTGTCATTTAAGTCCTCCCCTCAAAAGATACCAAGAATATTTACATGGTTAGACCAAAGAAAAAGAAAATGAGCTAAATGCAATAAACATTTTAAAATTTCACTGACACCGTTAATAAGGTCCTAAAACATTATGTTTCAGATAAACTTTAATGAGCATTATAATTCAGAATATTTCAGAGGTAGATCTGACTTTACTTCTGGGAACTGCTTAGATTTCCAAGACGCACACAATACTTGTTAGTATTTACTGAAGTAATGAGATACATTACTAAATGAAGTAATGAGATTAATGGGAAAAGTACTTTCTATAAATAAA